CAGGGGAGTGAATGCCTCCGTCCGACGGTGACTCGGTTTCTCCGCTTTTTCCACAGGGGCCGTGAACGCCACGCTGGGTAAGTTTCTTCTTCAATTCCCGCCGGTCCCGGGCGTCGGGCCGCGTAAACTCCGGCTGGGGGGCAGCGCCTTTCAGTGGGGTGGCGAGGTTGGTGGGGGGCAGGGAGGCGAACACCCTAGTGAATTTGGAGCTGGGTGCCCCAGAGAATCCATCCTCCCACCATCCCTACCCATCCTGGCTAATAGCCATTGCTAGACCTACCCTCCAGGAATCGATCTAGCTCTTTTGTGAACCCTGGTAAAGTCTTAGTCTTCCCAACATCCTTTGGCGAGGAGTTCCACAGGTGAACTGTGTGCTGTGTGAGGAAAAACTTCCTTGGGTTTGTTTTCAACCTGCCCCCTATTCATTTGGGGGACCCCTCGTTCTTTTGGTATGGGAACAAGTCATGAACTTTTCCTTATTCATCTTTTGCGCACCTGTCATGATTTATAGACCTCTCTCCTCTCCTCTTTTTGAAGCTGAAAAGTCCCCGTCTTTTTTCTCTCTCTACATATGAGACCCCTTCCAAGCCCCTCACCATTTTTATGGCTTTTTCTGACCCCTTCTCCAGTGCCACGATAGCGATCCAGATTAGAGGTGGGCGCAATTTTGGGGGCCGAAATTTTGTGTTCGGTACAATAAGCAGATTCGGGGACAGCGTTGGGGTCTGGTTCCCCACCGTGTCGGAAAAAAACCCAGCCCAGCTGAAAGGCGGGGGGAAGGGGGTGCCGGATATCTCTGAATTTCGCTTCTCCCCACGGGCTGGGTTGAACGCCGGGCCCCACGGGGAGACGGGGACAGGCGTGGAATCCAGACCCGGGCTAACGGGCTGTCTCTTTGTGTCCACAGACAAAAACCGCGGCCGACCAAGTGAGTGTGACTTTGCTCTTTAGTTCCTGTGTTACTTAGCTCTCTCTCCGGCCGCCCCGGACTCACTCTGGCCTGTTCTCTTCTCTTTTCAGATTGGAAAGGCGCCTTTCTCCGAGCCGGTAAATCACAACCGGAGTCGGGGCGCGTGGGTTATCCGAGGGCAGTGCTGTTCAGTGGTTACAGCAGGCGGGGGCTGGGAGCTGGGCCCCCCAAACTTGGGGGTTGGGGGCCTGGGAAAAAGGGACTTGTGGGCACCAACGTGGGCTGCGGGAGGGGGGAGGGGTTGGGAAAACTGGGGGGCCAGGACTCCCGAGAGGGGCGTGGGGTGTTGTGGTTGAAGTAGGGGATGCCGCGCCCCTAGGTAGATGTTTCTCCCGGCTTTCGCTGGGGTTTGGCTTTCCGCCGGCTCGTGCAGCGTAAGGCTTTGACATGAGCAAGAGGTCTTCCCCGAAACCGAGAGCTCTGTCTGTCTGCCCGCCCATCCGTCTGCCTGCCCGCCGTACTGTCTGGCTGCCCGTCTGGGTGCCT